AAAAGAAAATAACTTATGTATGAGGAACACAAAATATTGAGTTTAAAAAGATAGGATAAAGACATAAAAAAAAAAGATTGAGAAATTTGCTAAAGGCTACTCAAAATATACAGGAGCATTTAACAAAGGGGATGGTCAACTGGAAGAACTGCAGATGAGGGATCTCACAAGATAAGAATCGAAAGCCTCTACTGGATTTAGCAGCATGGCAGCATTAATGGTGGAAAACACCAGAGCAGAGAGTTTGAAGAATGAATGAGAGATAAAGAATCAGAGAAGGATGGCTATTGAGGAAGGTGAAACTTAAAGGCATAGAAAACAGGGAGGTCAAGGAAGTTAACAGAACATATTTTAATGTTAGACATAAAAGCATATGTGTGTGTTTGTCAGAAAACCAGTAGAAAGGGGAAATAAATGGAGACGAATAGTGACAGAAGTTCAAATTCATAAAGTACAATGGTAATTATAGAACTTTCCCCAATCTCCAAAGTATAGCTAATAGGAGTCCAGAATTTGGCTTTTGATGTTAAGCAGCAATGGATCTGCAGCTTCTTAGGGCCTTCTCTTTTTTTTTTTCTTTTTGCTTCTGGTGGTTAGTGAGTCAGAAGCTATAGATCCATTGCTACCTTACATCAAGAACCATTTACTGGACTCATCTCGGTTATTTTCTAGAGGCCAGGCACAGGATTAAGAAGACTGACAGTTGAGGAAGAAGGGGTAGACAACTTCAATCTTTTGAAATCTCTATATGTTGACCCTCATCTCTGTTTTACTTTACTAATAAACTGCATAAACTGAAGTGGCTTGTTCATTAATTTTAGTCTTGGATATATATAAGTCAGAAAAATAATCTTTGTGATGTGATGGGAAAGAAAAATCACGAAGCAAGATCTGGAATTTGCCTACTTAGCGATGGGTACTTGAGACCTAAGATGAGGAATAGAGATCCCTATATAGCTCCAGAAATATAGAAAAGGATTAAAATCATTCATTTGCATATTCATTTAATTGTGCATTGAATTCTTATTCATTATACAGATATATATTGAATGTCTGTTTCATATAAGTAATTTCTTTGGACAAAAGGTTCACAGTAAAAATGAAATGGAAAAAAAATAAAGTGCTTGTGTTCATGAGGCTAAATTCTAGGGGAAAGAAGTATTAATCAAATACATACATAATAATGTGCATGATGTGTTATCATATTTGATAAGCACTAAGTGGGGTATCATATTTGATAAAATTTATCAAGCCTTCATCTATAAAATTTGAAAACAGAATTGGTGTTTTGGATAGGAAAACAGTTAATTTCTTAAAATATGTTTTTGTTTGTCTATGAAACAGATATGAAGCAATTGTTTTAGGAGAGACCACTACATGTACCATAATCTAGGGTAGACAAGCACTATACCTGATGATACATAATTAGCCCTCAAAAGTGGTAACTATTATTACATGCCATACATGTAACAGACTAGCATATAGTGTTCAATTAATGAAGACTTCTTAGAAAACAATGACCATAAACTTTTAACAAATTTTTCTTTTTAGTAATACATAGAAATAGAGTATATTTTGACAAATTTATATAAGCATGGAGTATATTATTCTAATTAGGTCCCAGTCTTTGGGTTGTACAGGATGTGAAGAATCACTGTGGGTGTATTCATATGTGTTCATAGTAAAGTTATGTAAGATGTATTACACTGTCTCTCCTAATCCTGAACCCCCTCCCTTACCTTCATTTCCCTTTGTGCTGAACTTGTGTTCTTCCCCTGCTCCTTGTTGTGTGTAAGTATTCACATGTCACAGAGAATATTCCACCTTTGGGTTTTGGGGATTGGCTTATTTTGCTTAGCATAATAATCTTCAGATCCATCATTTACTGACAAAACTCATAAAGTCATTCTTTCGTGGATGAATAATATTCCATTGTGTATATATACCACACTTTCTTTATCCATTCATCTGTTGAAGGGCCCCTAGGTTGCTTCCATAGCTTAGCTATTGTCAACTGAGCTGCTATAAACATTGATGCGACTATTTCACTGTGGTGTAATGAGTTTGAATCCTTCGAGTATATGCAGAGGAATGGGATAACTGAGTCAAATGTAGTATGAATTCCAAGTATTATATTCTAAATTGATTTCTGAGCAACTTTGAGAAAAAGAAAATTGGTGTGCACTGTGAATTGATAGTCATTATAACTAGATACAGAACCATTTAATAATCAGAAAGCTCCAGCCATCCAAAGGAAGAGGGAAGAGAAAGGTGACTTCAATAAAGTACAAAAAATAGTCGCCTGCTATGGAATCTGCCTACCTAACCCCTTCACTCACGTCAGAGGGCTTCTTGGTGGTGGCAATATCGTCAGTTTGACTCTGTAATTCTACGTCATGGGAGGACTTTTCTGTGAATTTAAGGTTATATCCACAACCCTTGCCTATATTCACTAGATATCATAGCTAACCCAATCCACAAGTGTAGCAACTGAAAATCCCTCCAGACACTGTCAAAATCCCATGGAGTCAAATGGTCTCCAGGTGAAAACTACTCCCACAATGGAAGTCAGAGAACTTTCTCCGGTCCCTTACCTACTTAGCAACTTTTGTAATTCTAACCTAGAATCCTGTAAGAAACCTGATATATTTTCCTAGATGTGTGCTCCTGTGAAACCCTGGTTTGCTTAATAAATATAACATACCTTATTAGCTTTATTCAGAATTTTCTGTACATAGGTTCTCCATTTCCTATTCCATTCTACCCCACAACTACAATTGGTTTATCAAATCAAAGGGGATAGACTGCTGGAATCAAGATATGGCTGATATATAAACTATCATTGCTTTTATCAGGTTCCAGAGAGATTAGATCTCTTTTACACAGTTTCCAGGAAAAAATAATTTAACTGCGACAGCAGAATAGGGTCCATTTCTGGGAAGACATATAAGAAGGAAAAATATGTATCAGATGAACATAGAACTAAAAAAAAATCAAGTAAATGTACGTAAATAAAAATATTGAAGAATATTTCAGCACAAAGTTAGAAAAACATAAAGATTTTTGGAAAATATAGGGAAGTTTCCTTTTTTCCAGTTCCTTATATTTATTAGAATAAGCAGGCACTTTGTTACTCCCCAAGGATATCTCCTTCACCTATCTTCTTCATTAATTTCTTTTAACTGTCCTCTGCATCTTCCAGTTACATATGAGAAGAGTTAAGAGCAAAACCTCATTAAGAGTTATTGATGGGAAGACTATCAACAACTGTTTCAAAACATTAGTGTTATATTCCCATCAATATGTGCCAAACCCTTACCTAATTTTAGGAAAATGCAAGGGGTGACTAGACAAATATTTGTTATTCACAATGTACTTCAAGTGAATTAATTCCTACTGAGTGGCTAATCAGATCAGTGAATTAGTGTGTGCATCCAATGAAACATTTAAATAATTATCCAGAGCACATTTTTAATTGAAATAGGAAAAAGGAAAGAAAAGAAAAACCCAAAACCCAGGTTTATATTTGCATTACATTTCATCTAAATTGCCTAAATTTATTTCTCATAGTATATTAAAATGGACCTTTATTGTTATGTAAGTAATTTGATATGTGCTGCTTTGATTAACATGCTTTATGGAAGAGAAAGATGCTGCTTAATTAACGTGAAATGGGAGAACAGGAACAAGGAGGTTCAACGAGCATCTTTCAGAAAAGTAAAAGGATGATGAACAAGAGAGGAAAGAAAAGTGTAGCTCTGTAAAACATCTGTTTATTCCAGGAAAGAAAAATCCCTAACCTTGTTATCCCCATCCAATTCCTTTAAGTGATTTCAGTGAGTGTAGCAACAGTTCCCTTACCGCTATGCACAAACAGTTACTTCTGGCTTGAACTGTTTGCTGGGAGACAAATATTCTCAAGTAACTAGGTGGTCAATTTCAGTTCAGCCATGAATCTGGCCAATTCCAGGTGGTTGTGGAGTGATTAATGAGGCATCCAAAGACCCCAACCTCAGGCGACTTCTGTGGGAAGCAGGGATTTAGCAAGGCGTAAAAGCAGAAGATGGCTGGGCACAGAGCCTGCTTCTCCACCACCACCACCACCACCACCGTCTTTGCCCGTACAGTTGTTCCAGCTGCCAAAGGCTTTCTGGTTGCCATGGCAACCCTGCGGCTCTGCTGGGAACTCAGAGCAGATCCTCTGAAGTTAGATACCACACACTGGAGCTCAATAAACGCCACGGCAACTGGGAAGGATGAAGAGAACGAGGACCACCCTCCTGAGGCTAAAGGAACCTTTCCACAATCAGAGTTTTTTTTTTTTTTTTTTTTTTTGAAATGAGATAGTTTCTTGCCTGCCATTAGTGTCATCCTTTGGTGCCTGGCGGGAGGAGCTGACTGTAAATCCTGTGGCCGGGAGGGGATAGGAGACATTGTCACCCGGAATGTGACAAGCCCTCTCACTCATTCATTCAATTACAGATTCAGCATCTCCCGAGAGCTCTTTTGTGCAGAGCACTGGGTCAGGTACGAGGTGTGCAAAAAGACGAGGCACCGCCCCACCTTCAAAATAAACAAATGATAATTAACCAAAATGAACCGAATTCTCCCTAGCCCTGGGGTGGGGGTGGGAGGGACAGGCGCTGCCTGCTTCCCCCGATCTCTCTTGGAAACAGATTCAGAAGCCAAACTCAGGAGAGGAAAAGAGGCATTTTCTACACACAGGAGGGAAGGCTGGGGACCGGGCGGCGGGGGAGAGGGAGGCAGTCTTTCCCTAGGGAGGAGGTCTGTCAAGGCCACTCAAACGTTTCTCTGCGGCTGGGAGGAAGTAGAGGTTTATTTTCTTTTAGAAAAACGGAGCCCTTTCCCCTACTGGGCTCGGTTTCTAGTAGGGGAAGCTCCGCCCCTCTGGGTCACTGATTGGTTCAACTCTTTTTAAGATAATTTATGCCAGCATCCTCGGGATTTGATTGGCTTCCCGGCTTAGTTCCGCTGGGAGTCGCATCCTACCTGGTTAGGAGGTGTATTGCCCTTCCACACTCTCCCAGCTCCTACTCTCTGGGCTGCTGCTGAGGTGGGAGGCAAAGTCCTGGTTCTGAGATTGGGCAGTGTTAACAGAAAAAGAGATCCCAATGGGTTCTTGGAAAGCTTTTCTCTTCTTCCCTTTTCTTCTGTGGAGTCAAAGTAGAGGGGTGAGGTTGATGTTCTTATTATTGACCCTGCATTTGGGAAACTGGTAAGTAAATTCAAAACTTAAAACTATTTTTTTTTAACATCTAACTCTTTCCCTGTATTTCTCTTTCTTTAAAAGAAATCATTCTAAAGAAATTGCATTTCCTGGGGGAACATGTGCAATATTTACCATCATTTTATCTTCTGATTGTATCTGCTCACTCTCAGCATGAAATTAGCTTATTTCTGAAGCACTGAGATTAGTTCAGTTGCTGCTTTTTTTACTTCAAGACAGTACAAACTAGTAAAGGTTCAGTTACTGGGAAGGGGTGTGGAAGAGTAGAAATGACTTTGCTATTAAATTTAGTGAATGAATGCCATTGATGAACTTTCTGGATGATTCTGCATTTTAAAGACAGAGCTATCTCACAAACTTCTTAACAGCATGCATGGTTTGTTTGTTCATTTTTTTTCCTGTATACAAATACTGTTTTTCTTCCTTATTATTTAATAACTTTCTGGAATAAATCAATGTTTTATAAGATTATAAATCTGGCTAAAATCTCTATCAAGGTTGAAAATGTGTAAATTTCAAGTCAGAAGTGACCCTGTATATTTTATTGAAACCAGAGTTGAGTGGGTTTTATTTTAGTTGGCTGTCCACTAGCAATTACAAAATGTAAGGTGATATGAGTATCTTGGCTGTATGTGTGCATGATATTACCAATCACAAGGCTCAAGCCTAAGAGGAACAAGATTAGGCGGCAATAGCTTTCAATGAAACTTTGAAGTTATTCTGGTAAGGAAATGAAATGCTCAAATGTCATATATGGATCATTTGAAAGAATAGAGGGTGAAAAGAATTAAAATGTATTCATTAAAAAACATAGGCACTATATATGTCTGGTCCACAACACTAAGATCATGTAACTTATTTTAAATAAGTGTATATATTTAAAGTTATATTATTGTATTATATAATTCCTCTTAGAACTTGACTAAGGAACTATGAAGATAGAAACATGTCTTTAAAACTGTAGCATCGCTAAAATGAATTATTATTATAATTTTAGTGTATAGCTAGAGTATTTGCTTTTGCCATTACAAGCAGATAGAACAAATACATTTTCTTTCAGAAAATTGAGATTGGATTAAAGTATAAGTAATATCAGCTTTACTGGAAAATTTTTGTCATTTGGTATTTTCCTGATTTCACAGTTTCAGTTTATATATACATTTCCCTTAGACTGTCAAATGTTCTATATAACAAACATGTTCATCAATGAATCATTCCTTATGTATGTTGCATCATGATGATTTATTTCTTTGACTATATTACAAAATTTTATAGAAGCTATTCAAATAGAACACACATCTTCATAGTACTACAAAAGTAAAGGCAAATTTACCTAGTGGTTTTCTGAAGTAACAACCTGTATACTCTTTCTGTTGTTGTAAGGACAACTTTCTCTTTCAATCTAACAGGCAAACCACTTAGGAAAAATCATGTTTTCCATTCAAGAAATCCTTTAAATAGTATACTTTGTTTTTAAGGATATTTATGTTAAAATAATTGCAATTGGCTCCTAAACTCCAGTTTCTCAGAGTTAAAGAACTCAGTGGTGTAGTGGACAAGGCACAGGCTTAGCAGTCTGAATACATAATGATGTGTGTCAAGCATCTATAACCTGTCTGGACTCAGTTGCTTAATCTAAGAAATGAGGGATAACCGTAGGCATTTATGTTTCCAGTGTTGGCATTCAATGCATGTAAGATTTGAACTGAAACATCAAATGACTCAAGGGCTGCTTCACTAGTTTATCTTAGTAGTTCTCAAAAGGGAAATTTGTAAATGTGAGTCCCATATACTTTTTTAACCATGTGCATGAGTGGCTGTTACACAGTTTGATTGATAAACAATTCATTTTATCATAATACTAGAGATAAACTGCATTATTCCATTCAATGAATATACATTAAAAAACAAATCTGTTGTTATAATTAGCTCTTAGAGCCTCATGAAAGTTTATGCCTTCCATTTTTAAAGTAGCTAAAGTTATGCTGAACTTTTCATGCTTTTAATACTTGGAGATACTTGATGTTAACATGCATAAACCACATACAATCATATTTACCTTTTTCTTTCTTGTTCTGAGGGATCTTTTCAAAACTGACCATAGGTAGTTTTGTTTGTAAGTATTTTGATGTCATAGAACAAATAAATGAATCTTCACAATCATCTCAAATCATCTGTTTTTGAATTTGCCAAATTGGAAGCTACTATTTTCTAATTTGTGTATGGTACTTGGGGGCTCTACCACTGAGGTGCATCCCCAACCCCTTTTGTTTGCTTTTTGAATTTTGAGACTGGATTTCACTAAGGTTCCCAGGCTAATCTTAAACTTTTGATCCTCTAGTCTCAGTCTCCCAAGTTGCTGAGATTATAGGGGAGCATCACTGTGCTTGGCTGACCTTTGTTGTTGTTTTTGGGGGATCAAACCCAGATTCTCCGCAAGCGCAGGCAAGACAAGCACTCTATTACTAAGCCAGATTCCCAGTCCTTGTTTGTTTGTTTAATTTCAAGACAATATCTCACTAATTTGCCTAGGCTAACCTCAAACTTGGGATCCTCCTGCCTTATCCTCCCAAGTAGCTGTGATTATGGTCATGCATCACCATGCCTAGCTGACTTTTTTTTTCCCCTGCTTTCTTGTGTGGTGGTGCTGGAGGTAAAATCCAGAGCCTTCTGCTGCTAGGCAAGCATTCTACCACTGAACCACATCTCCAGTCCTTATTGTTTCTTATATCTAATCAGATGCAAAACCATCTCTCTTTAATAGTTTTCATTAACACCTTCATTAAAACATTCCATTAATACTTTCTCTCTTTATTACTTTTCATTAAAAACATAAAGGAGAAACATTATATTGATTTTTATATTGGTAAACTGTGAACACTGATCCTTCTTTTATAGCTAAAACCTGTAGTCATGGATCCTGTGTTACATTCACCAGGAGACCCTATGGTTTCTGTTCAAGTTGGTTTAAATTTACTCAGCTTTCTTTGACTTCTTTGTAATGTTGAAAAAAAAATCTAGCTATAAGCAGGTTTTCAAAAAGAGTTTAAAAAGCGCCTTGAGGTTTTATGTGTTCGAAAATGTAAGCTATGATCAACTTTGATCAACAAGTTATATTTTGAGACAATCTCAAGGAAAATACTTGTTTTATATAAAAATTTTTCCATAAATCAATAATCATACAGTGTAGCATTCAACTTCCCAGATGAAAATATTCAAATATAATTGCTTTAAAAATATACTTTAATGATATTTCTGTGGGGGTGGTAGTGAATGAAAGATTTTTCTTTAGTTGTCTAGATTTTTGGTTTAAATTTCTAATATACTAAAGATAACCAAGAAAACTTGAGAAGAAAACGATCCTCCATGATAATTACATATTTAAAGAACTGTGAGACAACATAATTTTGAAAATAAAATACAAATGTCATAATTGACAAGTCCCTTGTTTGTAAAGTCTTTTAAATTATCGAAACAAGAAATACCTTTCTTCAAGTTCATTCCATTCTATATTATAAAATGCACATTTGACTAAGTAATAAAAGGAAATGCTTGACATTTCATTCAAACACTAAATAGATTAATACAATATTTTATAGTTTCTTAAATGTGATTAAAATTGCCTTGGGATACAAGAATGAAGATGGAGGCCCAAAGAGGGTAGACAAGGAAGGATACAAAGTTTAAAAGTGGCTTTTGAGATATTGAGAAAATGTCATTACTTATAGGCAATGACTGCTATGAGGCAAGAGGAGGAATGAACTCAAATGGAGTAGAGCAGGCCCCAAGTGGAAAGCCTGGATTATACCATCAAATTTAAAATCTAGTTTCAGCTTTACCATTTCCCATTGGAATAATCTCAGCCAAGTTTTGAGGCAGAGAGTTTTTATTTGTCATCTATGTTTCCAGATTATTTCAAGACCAAGAAAGAAAATTTGTGCAAAGAACCTATCACTTACTGTTTTGTCTGAAAAAGGCAGAATAGCATATATTATGTAAAATCACAGTAGTATTGATCTTTGTTAAAGTGATTTTAAGTCCAGTAGAATGAAATCCTTAAATCCTTGTGTGCAATTTAATACCCTTAAGTTTGGGAGAGATCTCTCATTCATGTGTTCAACAAATGTTTATTGAATGCCTGCTGTGTGTGGAACCTAGTGCAATATGCTAAGCTTACAGTGAAAAGAGTACACAGGAGCACTACCCATAGGGCGCCTATCTATCTGCTAAGATAGAAAACATCTTTTAGTTAAAATAAGTAGATATAGCTTGAGGATTTAAATTCTTGAGGCTAGAAGATGCTGAGAACAAATCATGGCTAAGAAAAGAGGATTGAAGAGCCATAAGATTTCTCATCAGCTGTGCTAGAAGACGATGGGGAAAATGTCTCTCAAATTCTTACAACAAATATCCAACCTAGATTATGACATTTAATCAAATTTCCAGTTAAACAGGAAGGGAGAATAAAGTCCAGATACTGTTACTTGCCTATTTTACACATGGAAAAACGGGCAGAGATTTTTTGAAAACTTAATACTCATTTTGGTGATAAGTGTTGGATTCAAATCTCAAATACAAGTATTCTATGTCCAAAGCCTGAATTTTTACACTTGATCTTAGCCAAAAGGCCGAGAAGCGATAAAGCCTGAATTTTTAAAGGTCAAACCACTCAGATTACAAATACAATATAAATCAAAGCAAGTAGGCTGACTGTGGATGAAGGGGAAGAAAAAGGAAGAGAAGGAAAGAGAAAAGAAGAGACATAGGAGAGAAGGGTAAGGGAGAGGAGAGCCATTCTGGGAAGGGCTGGAAAAGGAAGGAAAGATAATGTAATTATCTTTTCATTGATTGAGGCAGAGTAAGTAGAAAAATCTACTCTACATATACTTGTACTTTCTTGCATATCATGTACATTGCTAGAAAAATTATTTTAAGAAAAAAAAGTTGGATCAATAAAATAAGATTATAGTATAAAGAATTAAAAGCAA